GAAAAATGTACCATGTGGACCAATCAAAACATGATATGGCAACATGGCATTTAGATGTTTAGGGAGGGGGAAGTTTTAGGAGTGACGGCGTGTTTGTTAGTGTGTAGTTAGTGTGTAGTTAGTGTGTAGTCAGTGTGTAGTCAGTGTGTAGTTAGTGTGTAGTTAGTGTGTAGTTAGTGTGTAGTCAGTGTGTAGTTAGTGTGTAGTTAGTGTGTAGTTAGTGTGTAGTTAGTGTGTAGTGTAGTCAATAGTGTTGTTGTGTGTCAGAACAATGAGGCGACTGCTGAGTGTTACAGGTGTTACAGCAGTGACACATCTGCTGCTGTCAGGCCTGCAGGTATCAGGCTGTTGTTCATCTCATAGTGGACACAAATTATTTTTTGTGACACAAATAATTTGTGTGGCATCAGATTAGATGCAGAGCAGCTGATTGTTCTGTAAATAGTTTGAAATGTTTGTTTAAAAAACACCTTGGCTGCATTTTTACGTAAACAGCTGCAAAAAACTTTGTTTGCATAACTCAGTTACTTTTTTGAAGAAGTAACTATATAATTAATTTCCCAGCATTGGTCATTATTTACTGTATTTTGCAGACAGAGTTACAGACTCTCTCCCAGACTCAGACTCATCATACAAGTCAGAGCTTTATTGGAGTTCAGGTTATTTTTTAAGATTTGTTTACATTTTCATTGTAAGTGGGGCTAAAGCAGTTAATTAAAAGTCGTCTAACATAAATGCTGTAATTTGATTATTTTAATAAACATGTAACTTGGATGGATTCGATGCTGGCGTGACCACAGTGCACACGTCTGCTGTCGCTCACAGGGGACCAAGGGACGCTCAGGGAGTTTGTGTGCTCGCTCAGACACATGGAAAATTAGAGGGAACATTGGTTCAGGTGTATATGACAGATTCTGCCCCAGCTTCCTCATATATGGAGAACTGACACTGTCAAAATCAAAAATATATGGACAAAAACGTGAATCAGTAAATGGTCTGTCATTAAATTGCTATGTGGGCATGAAAGGTACCTATTCCAAAATTTACTAAAGCTAGGAGCGGACTGTGAGGATACACCCGCAACTTTATGTTCAAATCATCTGTTTATTGTGTCCAAAAAATATCAACTAAAGCTGAAATATGGCCAGGCTGCACATCCATGTAATACCAGTTTCTACCACCAGATGGTGCAGCGACGCAGGGTTACCTTTATTTAACCAAGAGAGATAGTAAGAGCACATTTCCTGTGTGAGGACAAAGATGCTATAAAACACCCATCAACAACCACAGTGGGGGAACACCGCCCCCTGGTGGTTCATTTAACTTTGAAACAGACAAATCTCTGCTTTTATTTGCTCTCGTGTTTCTTGCATTTGTGTGGGAATCAAATCCAAATTTCTAAAATGTTCTCATTTGATCTTTCAAGTTATTTTCTCATTTATGCATAAATGTATTACATACTGTATTTACATGATATTATCAGTGGTATGGAGGACTCTAAGTGCCAAAATCATAACACAATAAGGAAGTTATATGAATAACAATTAAATAAAAATTAATTACAAATAAATTCTGGCGCTAATCAAACTTAAGGATGAACAGATTTCTTTTCTCTTTATTTTGTAATCACATGGACATTTTCTGACATTTCTCTTAAAGACACTTTGTGCTGATAAACTCGATTTAGTGCACATCTTTCAATCGGAGATACAAACATGAACACAGTCCTGAGGAGTCTCTCAGAAAGGAGAAGAAGAAGAAAAGGCGGCGACGGCGTAAAGAGTCCTAACACGAGAAAATCTGCAGCTTTACGAGATTTCAGTCTTCAAAAGAGACCCGAAGCTCTGACGTCACAAAGCCTGAAGCAGGAAGACGAGTAAAGAGACATCAGCAGGTTCCTGCAGTGGTCCTTCAGCGCTGCTTTCAAGGAGCAGCCAGGAGCCTGGGACGTTTTTGTTTTCCCTCATGCGGAGAGTAATACATGGTAGCGGCTGGGTATACGTGTACGGAGAACCAGAGAAGCCAAAAATATAAATTACATTATGGTATTATACATTTGCTAATAAAGCCATCAAAGTGAATATTAATGCTACATGGACATAAATGAACTGATTTCTATTTATTACTGTATTTATTTCAATTAGCAGTACTTATTTATTTTAAAGTACATTACCCCCCAATTCATTTTTCATTTTATTTCTGCGTTGGGCAAAAGTATAAATGTTTACCACTGATATGTTCATTTGTGATTTAGGCAGTTTTACAGTTTTATTATTTGTATGTTTCAGATGGTTTAGCTGAAGCAGAACAGTAGAAAAAAAATAAAGTAAAAATAAAAGATATTTGGGGAAATAAATCAGGTGACAAGAGGAAAGGAAAATATTTAAAGTTGGTTCATAAAAATGTAATTAATGCTTGCATTTGTTTCCAATATGGTTTTGTTCCTAATAAGTAATTATTTCAGCAGTTACAGTCCTCTGTAGTTGTTCCTGTACCTGAAACCTTCTTTTGAATAAACACCGCAAGTCACTCATTACCAGTGAGGTCCTCAGACTGAAGGACATGAAGTACTGACGTGTATTAAAACATCCCAATTATTATTGTTATTGTTAGTATTATTGAAAAATTCAGTCAAAAATGAAAGCAGAAAATTCCAGACTTTTCTCAAACGCAGCATTATCAACTTTCAGGTGTGAAATAAAAACACCTGGTCTGATTTTAGCTTTGAAAATCAGTCCAGATGTGACTGTAACGAAACAGCTGTCGGTCAGATTCAGATTCAACACTTTATGGAAGACTGAAGCCGCCAAAAACACAAATTTGTGCAGTTAACCTCTTTCTGTCCTTTTTAAATTCATTTTCTATTTTGGCATCAATCCACCGAAATCAAAAAGTTAACATCACAAACATTTTGATTTTACAAAAACAAAATTTGGAAACAAAGAAAAGAAAACGATTAACAAAATAATAAGAAAACAAAAACTGTCACTTTATAGAATAAATATTTAAATTTAAATTATTTATCCACCACCTGCTCATTTATAAATTAATAGATAGTTAAAATACTAACATGTATTATTGGGTCATTTAATACTTTCACAGCTAAGTTGCTTCTGCATTATTTTACTTTATTTTTTATATTTCTTTTTATGTTTTCCTTCATAGTCAAACCTTCGGCCTAGAATCTCTTTAATCCCTTATTTATTAATTTATCTATACATTCTTTGAAGAGTTAGCGATGCATACAAACAACATGGAGTTTTCTGATGCTCATATTTCTACGTATTTAATGGCGAATCACAAATGAGCGTATTACCTAGAACTCTATACCAATTTTAAATAATTTTAAACACTTTTATAAACGAATAACTGGGAAGGTAACGAAATGGGAGAATTATTTTATTATACAGCAGTAAATTAAATTTTATGAATCCAATATTCATCTATGCCCATGGACTATTAATAAACGTATTGATGCATTAAGGCTTATTGGCTGGATTTCACTGTGGTCGTTTCAGTCCTGCACATCTATTTTTCCCCCATTTTGACAGCCTGGAAACAAGAAAACTGTCGATTCAACAATGGATTTACGTGTGGTTTGGGCAGCTGGGGTCCTCCATACAGGTTAGTGTCACTGAGCAGAGTAAATATAAATACCGAGAGAGGTTTATGAGCTTCAGTCAGGTTTCAGGACAGACTCTGGCTTAACTGGAGTCTCTGTAGAGTAAAGAGCCTCAGTTTTTAAAAATAAAACTACTTCCTGAAAGTCAGCACATCAACAGAATGATTCAGATGTGGGTTCCTGACCGTCACATCCACGGGGATCACAGCACAGGCAGGAAGTCGTTTACTGTTGCCTGAGCCTCCGATGTTTGTCCAACTGAAGCAGAAGCTGGGGTGAATAAAATTCACGCTCCAGAGTGTGTGCTGCAGGGCTGATGCATCATTTCTACCTTTTACCACAATTTAATCCCACATTTGGCCCTTTACTCTGCGCCTGCTGGCGGCTCTGGTGATGACTGTGGAGATCCTTTGTGGATCCAGCCAGGCTGCAGGGCTCCGGGAGGGTGGAGGGGGGATCAGAGGCACACCTCCGGGCCCGGGTACGGCTCCCCTCCGCACCAGAATTCCGGAGGCTGCGAGATCTCCATGAGCCAGACCTCCTTCTCCGTCTGCTCCGAGTCTTTGACCCCGTCCCCGGGCAGCACCTTGTAGTAGTGACAGTCCCTGCCGTCGTCCGGGTCGTACGGCGGGGCTAAGATGTCCATGAAAGCTGTGGGCCCATCCACGGCGTCAATCTGGTGGAGGTTGTCCCGGTCGGGGGAGAGGACGCAGGGTCCACTCTCCTCCGTGTACTCCCCGGTGGAGCGAAGCACGTAGCGCCGCAGAGCGCCCATCTCCGCCCGGGGCAGCGCGTCCCCGCCCCCGCCCGGTCGCTCGAGCCGGTCGAAGCAGCTTATCCGGACCTTCCCGTACATGACTTTGAGCACGCCGTGCATGCCCGGGTGGTCGTGCAGCGGGATAGAGGCCCCGCTCTTCAGCAGGAACACCCCCATGCTGAACTGGTCCGTCTCACAGATGTGCATGTAGGTGACCGGGGGCGCACCGCGGTGATACGGGTGCTGAGCAGGGGGCGCGTCGCTGTCCTCGGCTCTCCGCGGGACGAGCTTCAGGTCGGCAGCCCGCACTTCCGACATCAGGCTCCGGAGCTTGCCGTGGTTCTCCAGGAAGGACTTGGAAGCCTCGTCGCCCACCGCGGGTGTTTTCCTGAAGGTGACGAGAGCCTGCCGAGCTATCCTCTGAACCAGGGAGGCCATACTGCTGTCACCGGGCATCATACCGAAGCGAGGAGCCGCCGCTCGGTCCGCTGGTCCCCGTTAGCTGTAGCTGTGTGTAGCTAGCGCCGAAGATCGTGTGACCGCGAGAGGACTCACTCCTCAGGGGCTCGGCTCACTGGTTTCTGCCCTCACGAAGATCAAAGCCTAAAAAAGAAACTGCAGAAACAAAAACGACGAAATTAAATATCATAAACCGAATAACGAGAAACAGCAGGGCTGGTATTCATCCGTCGGGTGTCCTCCCACAGAGTCTGCGACGGTTTACAGCGCCGCCATCAGTGCAAACGTAACTCCCGCTGTGTGAAGCCACGGAGGACCGAAGCGGCCAAAATTGCAAACTTCACAAATAAACAAACTAATTTGTTATTAAATTAAGTTTTAGATAATTTCTCGGCTCCTTTCATTATTACTTTCAATTTTGACGTCCACCAACCAAAACCTTAAAAATGTGACCTCACGAAAACACTTTGAATTTGCAAAAGGAAACAAATACAGAGGACGGCAAAGTTTAAAAAAAAAAAAAAAGATTATTTTAACAAAAAAACCAAAACAAATAAAAGTGACTAGGTAAATCAATTCAGAAACAATTTGTCACATATTTTTAGGATAATTATTTTAATTAGTTCCATTTATTTGTTGTATATTTCAACAACCCTCTGTCCATAATCACATACGGTGTATGCTATATAGTTTATTATCTTATTTATTTTGTATTTGTTTGTATTTTTCTTCTGCTATCTCTACCTGAGTCGAGGTAATGCACACATTTCCCCGTGTGGGATCAATAAAGTCTTATCTTAACTGTAATTAATCCATACAAGGTGACTCGGGGAGCCGTTTCCCTGTTACTGGGTTTCAAAAATGGCAGTTTAATTTTCGGGAATGAGACGCTCTCGTGACTCATCGAGTGACACCACTGAGCAGCCAATCGGTGGCATGCGGTCTGATGACATCACATTTCAGTACCTGCTCAGATAGCTTTGTAGCTCAGCGAGCAGGTACTATTTTAGCACCTGTTCAGGAAAAACCCTGAAAACAATGATTGTTTTGGGTCCCACTGAAAAAAGCATCAAGTGTATTTGATGAATCTCGTGGTGCGTTTTAGGATGCATGCACTCTTATATTGTACATGTATTTATTACTCTCAGATTTAGCCATTCTTATATTTTTGCGTGTTTTATGTTATTGTATTTTTGCACAACTCTGTTGCTTGCGAAGCTCGCACACAAGATTTTCACTCGCATGTACTGTACCTGTGTACCTGCACATGTGATGTGACAATACAAGTGATTTGATTTGAAATTATGATGCCCGGACTCGAACCCGCTGGGGCCTCTCTGTGAGGTGTCTCTAAACTGGTGACCTGTCCAGGTGTGCTGCAAGTGTGTCTGAAGCTTCAGTGGAAAAAGTGTTGCATTCACACAAACATGACGTCATGGATCATAATCATTAACCCGACATGAACTGAAAGAAATCCCACCAAACAGCTGATTTTAAAGCTAAAATCAAAAACACAACGCATACGTCACCGGTGCGATCACCACAACAACACGTGGCACGTTGACCGCCGTTAGTCTGATTTTGTGCATTTTTCTTTGGACGGAATGATTTCCGGTGTCCGGAAACGGCAGCAGAGTGAGACCTCACCTGCTCCCCTGCGCTCACCTTTTTCACAGCCTGCTGTCCTCATTCATTCCCGTTTTTGTCGATCAGCGCGTGAGGCTCCGCGAGCAGCACACAAACAAGCTAAAGAGGCAAACGGACACAAAGCAGGAGGAGTCGGAGAAGCTCTGGGAGCTTCGGGGTGTCTGGAGGCCTTCGTCACACTCCGCCGCGGTCACTCTTATCTGCTCCGCTGCCCCATTTTTGAATTACTGTCAAACACGTCCGCACCGCGCAGCGTTTCACGGGTTCACACCTGGTGCATTGTGGGAAACGAAGTCTGTCGGGCCTCTCGCGTGGACGTCCACGACACCAAATCAGATTGAAGTCAAACGGGGACAAAATGAGCTTCGTATTTAGGTCCCTCTCCTCCAGGGTCAGCGCACTGCGAACACTGTCGCTTTATCCGCGAGCTTAAGGTCAAGCGAATATCTAGTAGCACTACATTACCCAGCATGCCTCTGAATATTTACTTCTTAATGCTCTTTGCCCCCAGTCATTACTGAGTTGCAAACAGTCGACAGGAGTAACCCAGCAGCGGGCCAACATCGGGATAAATATAGAGTGCATCAACTGTCTGAAGCATATTAGTCTGAAAGATGAAGCCTCGTTTCCTGGAACGCTTTATTCCAAAGAAAACACCCCACGGTTCACCGTGGGAGCATTAATGTGGCACTTTACACTCGGACGGCCTCGAGTTTCACATTTATCACATCTTGTTTATTAAAGATGTCAAAAAGCAGCGTTCTGGTGATTAATGTGGACATAAGTGTCATATATGCTTTTACTTATAATAATTCACCGCTCCAGCTGGATTTGAACCCTCAGCCTTCAGGTTATTATCAACAGAAACGCCATTTACAACCACATTAGCCTCGTTTCAGCCTGTCTTTATCAGGGAGCAGCACAAAAACATTGATCTCATGACCCGATTAAGCTATCAGCTATTTTCCATCAGTTCTTGGCAGCAGACGCAGCATGAAGTAAACATAAAACACAAAAACATGTCAAAAACGTGAGATAAACCAATACAGGCAGAGCTTAAAAACTGCACAATGCTCCGGCGTCATCCTTCCCCCAAGACATTTTGAGGCTGACGCACTTCTTCATGAACTTAACAAACATTAAATATTCACAGTGTCAAAGAGACAGATGGCCAATAATTTAATAAAAATAGTCAAATGGCAAAAGGGACCACATATCCTCAAAGAAGAGAAAAAGAAACATGATAAACGAGACAGCTCATCATACTCAGAACAACAAGCTGGGAAGTTCTCTCTTCTTCTAAACAGCTGCAGATTTTAGAGATCGTCACATCACGCAGTCGTACCGAAGTCTAAGTTCTTTAGATGTGTCACCACCGAGCTCTGGAAGGAAGGAAGTGGGTTAGGATCTCCAGGAACAACCTGGAACAGCCAAGGCTGAAGCCCGCCAGTGAAGCTCATTTTACAACATCGTGGACAGGAAGGAGCCCCGGCACCAAAATCAACACCTTCAAGCTCAGCTGGAATTCCCAGCTGCCCAAATGGATGAGCCAAAAAGACGAAGACTGAGCTGTTTGGCCACAAGGACAAGAGGCATGTTTGAGGGAGGGACGGTGAGAACACAGCACCGAGCATGGTGGTGGTAGCATCAGGATCTGGGACTGTGTTGCTGCTACACCGTTTTCAGCTTTTATGGAACACATTGAAGTTGAAACCTGGTTGTTTTGTGTCTACATTGAGTGTTTGGTGCATTTTTCATAAGGTTTGTGGTTCATTTGTGCCTCTTTTCACTCATTTTGCAACATTTTGTGTTTGTTGGGACTGTTCTGGTCATTTTTGCACATTTTGGTGTTATATGTGATATGTTGTAGTTTTTTGTGCTTCTGTAATTGTTTTGCATCTTTTCTGTCATTTGAAGTTGTGTTCTGCTTGTTTTGTGTTCATTTTCCGTCTGTTTTTGGTGCTTTGGGGTCCCTTTATGCCTTTTTGTGACTTTTTGGTCCCTTTTGTGATCATTTTTGGATTTTTCCTGAGTTCTTTAGTGTTCCCCTGCAGGCATTTTGCATGATTGTGGGCTTTGTGGACATTTTTGCCTTTCTGTAGACATTTGAAGTATTTTTATGTTAATAGTAGTCACACGGCATCATGTCTGGTCATTTTTAATCATTCTATGTCTTTTTTGTGATTTTAAAGGTGTTTCCTGTCTGATTTGTGTCTTTACGGTCATTTCCCTCCACCTTTGGCCGTTTGGAGTTTGCGGCTGTGTCGTCGCCTTTTTGTCACTGCAGGATCGCTGGACCTCTATAATAACCCCACTCACGAGAGGGTGTCAGCTGTATTCATCATATTTTGGGATAAAGCTCTTCAGCTGTTTGGGGTCCGTCACTCTGCTCCAAACGGAAGAGGACACTTTAATGAAATTATAACATCTTTGTGGGTAAAAAACACACTTTAGTCCTGAAACTCTAACAGTGACTCATCTGTAAGCGTGACTCACTAGTTGAGTTTGGCATTTCATGATAAAGACGTAGGCAGCCCATTTGGGCATCTTTCTGCTGGGAAACACCCACCCACACACACACAGCCTACTTTATGGAAATTCACCCTGATAAAGGCATTCGTTTGGCTGATTTGTGTTCACTGCTGACATCAAACCAGAGAGAAACAGGATGTGGGCGATCCTCCTCAGGATGTGTTATCCTGTTAGGGTGCTCACAGTCCACAGCCAACTGATTTGTACCTGTTTTAAATATGTCAGGTACAGTTTTACAGATTTAGGGTTGAAATGCAGAGTTTACAGAGGTTCATCCAGGACTGTAAATCTGAAAAACAAGCTGACACAAACCAAACTGCATGTTTCGATGCTCTAAAAGGATTCGTAAAGTTCACAAACACCAGTCATGCTGTTTGCTGTGCGTTCACTTAAATGCCCTACGTGCAGTTTGTGCCAAGCTAAACAAACACTTTGTGTTTGTTGTTTTGTTTTTAGGTCATTTTGTATATTTGGGAGTTTCTCTGTGGTTGTCTTATTATTTTACGGCCACTGTGTTTTGTTGTGTGGCAGTTTTGAGACATTTGTTACCTTTTCTCACAATTTTGAGATTGTTTTGAATTATATTGTGTTCATTTTAATTTTTTTGGTGTGTGTGTGTTTCGATGCTGTTTGCACGGAATTTGCAGCATTTTGTAGTTTTTTGGGGGAGTTTTGTTTTTCACCTATTTGTGAGCATTTGATCTTTTTCTCTTTGTACTTTACTGCATTACTGTAGATATTTCTGACAATCTTTTGTGGGTTCTTCTATTTTGATGTTGTTGTAGGGTTTTGGATGAGATGCTGGCTCTGTGGGAGAATTTATTTCTGTTACTTTCCATCTTTTTTGTCATAATTTTGCACGTTTCTTATTTTGGGGGTCTGTTGTGCTCATTCTGAGTTGATGTGGACCCTTTTGTGGTAATTTTGTACCATATTTTAATTTTACATGCATTATTTTGTGTCTTTTTAGGGCCATTTTTCATTACTTTGTGAACCTTTTTGTAGTCATTTAGGCTTTTTTGGTGGGTCCTGTATCAGCTGTTTCCATTAAACCTTTGCAGAGTGCATCAGTCGAGTTTCGCAGTGACTTTTGTAGAGTTTTCCAGTTGTAATCAGATCATTGATGACATAATGTGGACAGGATCTGGAGCCACCATCATGCTGACTCTTTAACACCTCAGTACTGTAGTGTGCACTCGGGCTGTGAGCGAACTAGTTACAGAGATCTCCCTCCACCCTGGAGATGTCACCCGCTCCCACACAGATCACCTCCTCACTTCCCTTCAGTCCGTAAAAACTTCTCCTGACACCCACCCACTCACAATGTGACACGGAGGCCTCGCTTCCACACCAGAAATACTGCCGAGCATGTGTGCGGTCAGCGTGTGACGCCACAGTTCTCCTGAAGCGACGTGCTGTTTTTATTAGCAGGAAGCGAAGGCCTGCTGAAAATAGACGGCGTGATGCAGAGCTCGGACGCTTTTAGCCCTGATGGAGAGCCAGATTGTGGAAGCCCCGCGTAGGCCGTCCTCCAAATCAAATAAACAGTTTAAATTATTCTGCAACAGGCGGCTGCTGTGCAGCCAGCACACACACACAAACACACACACAAACACACACACACACGGCCAGCCTTGTATATTTATAACAGGACAGTAAACAGCAGAGGCTGTGCATGTTGTGTGTAGACTGCAGACTCTTTTGAGGTTTGCTGTCCTGTGCTTACTGCACCAGTTCACAGCTTCATTCTGCTCCTGGACACTGAAGATCCTCCCATGATGCACTGCATTAACTCGATATCTTCCAAGATCACATTTACTTTAGTCTACAATCCAAGATTATTTTTTGCTACTATATCTGCACATCCAATCACAAGTTGTCAACTCAAGTCAAGTGGCTTTTATTGTCCTTTCAGCCATGTGCAGTGGGACAGTGCAGAGTGAAACGAGACAGCGTTCCTCTGAGACCCTGGTGCTGCATATGACATAACAGACGATCAACACAGAAATACATAAAGTGTGTGTGTGTGTGTGTGTGTGTGTGTGTGTGTGTGTGTGTGATACTGCAGATAAGTGCTTGGTAGTGATGTGTATGCAGCTGTGTGTGTCACTGAGTGTTCAGGAGTCTGACGGCTTGGGGGAAGAAACTGTTCCTCAGTCAGGCAGTGAGCACCTGGATGCTCTGGTACTTCTTGCCAGAAGCCAGCAGGGTGAAGCGTGTGTGTGAGGGGTGTGTGGGGTCCTCCACAATGCTGGTGGCTTTGCGGATGGAGCGGGTGCGATAGCTGTCTGTTATGGAGGGAAGAGAGGCTCCAATTATATTCTCAGCTGCTCTCACTGTCAGGTCTTGCAATCCGATACAGTGCAGTTACCATACCAGACAGGGATGCAGCTGCTCAGGACGCTCTGGATAGTCCAACTGTAGAACGTAGCAACACATCATTCTGAGCATCAAACCGTGCGTTCAGCGCATCTGGTACGGATGCGTGGTCACAGATGTGTACTAAGTTGGTGCGGTCAACATTTGTTGCAGCCTCCCTAAACATGTCCCAGTCAGTGTGCACAAGAGTCCTGAAGGGCGCTGAGAGCTCCTGCAGGCCAAATTCTCACCTGTCTCAGAACCAGTTTGCAGCGTCTGACGAGTCTGTTAGCAAAACAGACAATTGGTGCGAGTGTCCGAGGTGTGGGCGGGGCTCCTCTCTGTATGCGCAGACCTTGTCCTTCAAATGTAGAAATTTGTGATCAAACTTTAGTCTCAAACTAGTTTGTGAACTTTTTTCAGGATGTCAGTGAGCTCGAAGTTTGGGGCAAATTTTTATAATACAGTATTTTGGATTGTGCAGGACGCGGG